AAAGTAGCTGAAATTAGCAAAAAATGCTAAAAGTAACCGAAAAAAGTTAAAATTAACAGATAGCAGGGAAATGAGCGTGATTTCTTTAAATTAACAACAAAAGAAGTAGAACTAAAAAATGGGTTAAAAAAGCTGAAACTAACCTAAAAATAACTTAAAAGTAGCTGAAATAAGTACAAAGAAACAGAAAGAGCAGGTTTGCTTAATTTAATTAGTAAGAAGCTGAAAAAGTTTATAAGCAAAAACGTTGATGTAAAAATAGGACAACAGAAGTGAAAAGTCAGAAGAAAGACAGCAAAAAGAGTCAAAGAATCTTACGAGCAAAAAGTAGCCAAAATTAGCAAAAAATGCTAAAAGAAGCCGAAACAAGCTAAAATTAACAGACAGCAGGGAAATGAGTGGGAATCTTTTGTTAATTATTAGCAGAAAAGATCAGATCGAAAAAAATTAATCAAATCAACAAAATACAAGTCGATGGAAGCTAAAATTTGCAGAAGCTAAATAAAGCAGAACCAGAACAAAAGCCAAAAAATTTTAAGAGTAAAAAAAAAAATTACAGAATGAGATATGTGACAAAAAACCTACGATAAAAAACTGATCTGAATAATTTGATTGTTTTTTCACATATGAAATAAACACCTTCATCCTGCAGCTTCTTGTTTTGTTTTTTGGTTTCCAGTGGACTCGGACGATGCGATGGGGGGCAACACAAGCATCCTGTCCTCCCCACCGCCCCCGACGGCCGGTCCGCATGGGAAGGAGATCGGGACCACCCCCCCTCAGTCCCCCTCAGTGTCCACGGCCCTCTCCGGAGCAGGGTACGCTAAAACTCGCCGTCAGCTCTCAGCAACAAGCTTCCCGCCCTCCTCAAACATTWTTTTTTTTACTCGTAGTTCTCCGTGTTCGGGCAGCGAAGTGATGGGGCTCCAGGTGGACTACTGGACCTGGCAAGGTTCTGAGAAGAAGAAGGAGGGCGAGAAGAGGGACGTCGGGTTGAAGAACACCCTGAAGTGTAACTTCCGCTCGCTGCAGGTCAGCCGGCTGCCAGGAGGGGGCAGCAGCGACCCACAGGCCCAGGTCAGCACCATGGCCATGACCGTGGTCACCAAGGAGAAGAACAAGAAGGGTACGCCTCAGAAAACATGGCCGACCAATCAGCGCGAGTCCCATCGGCCGGACTCGTTTTTATAATCCTGAGAAATAAAAGATATACGTTTGTTTTTAAAAGAAAAGAAAAATGAGTTGTGYATCCTGACAGCTAAACACTGAGACCAGAACAACTAAAAGCTAAATGAAGCTAAGTCCTAGCTATAAACCTAAAGTAGCAAAACAATAATTTAAAGCTAAACGTAGCAAATCATCAATCTTTAAGTGGCTAAGCCTGTGCCAGATTTAGTCATTGGCTAATTCTCATCTGCAGTGCTCTAGCTAAAAGTAACAAAACACTAGCTGAAACCTACAAGTACKAAAATGTTAGCTGAAAGCAAAAGACTAGCCTAAAGCTGCAAAGGGCTCGCTAAAACCAGCAAAATGGTAGCCTAAAAATGCACAACTCAACCTAAAAGTAACAAAACACTGTTTAAACCTTAAAAGTAGCCAAATAGCTAAAGGTAAATGTAGCAAAATGCTAGCTAAAAGAAAAAGGTTAGATAAAAATAGCAAACGATTAGCTTAAAGTAGCAAAATAAAAACGGTTCACAAAGTTATTAGTAGACCAAATAAAAGCTAGTTGCCAGCTAAAAGTAGCATAATCCAAGCTAAAATTCACAAAACACCATTAAAACCCTAAAAGTAGCTAAAGACTAGCTAAAACTTACAAGTAGCAAAATGCTTGATAAAAGCAAAAGATTTTGTAAAAACAGCAAAAGATTTGATTCAATTAGCAAGAATAGTTTAAAGTAGCAGAACGGTAGCTAAAACCTCAAAAACCGCACAGCTCTAAATAGAAACAAAACACTCCTCAACCCCTAAAAGTAGCTAAAGACTAGCTAACAGTAAATTTGGCTAAATGCTGGCTTAAAGCAAAACATTAGCTAAATATAGCAAATGACTAGCTTAAAGTAGCAAAAGGTTAGCTAAAACCAAAAGGTTTACAGCAAGCTAGTAGTAGAATGCTAGCTAAATGTAAATTTAGCAAAATGCTAGCTGAAAGCAGCACAAATAAATTATTTTAAATAAAGAAGTGATGTAACGTCAATCAGATTTAAAGCATTTTTTGTTGCTTTAAGCTCGTATTTCACTGAACTGGGATTTTGTCTGAAATTAAGCCTCTGGACTCGAACAGACATTTAAGGACCGCCTGCTAATGTTTTGAGAATCTGGAGCCGATGCGGTCCACCAGCTGGTCTCTGACCGTCTCAGATGCAGCTCCTGGACTCTGGTGAAGGTTTTGTTAGTCAGTTTCCTCTCGGCTCATCCCTCCTT